TTGCTGCATATGCAGAAAGCTTTTTGCTATCGGGGCGTCCACTATACTCTGGGATGGTCTGCCAGGGGTCAGAGGCTTTGAATATCTACTAACCATCTGCAATGGCGATGCTGAGTATAATTCAGCCAGAAGATATGGTGGCCTGTGTCTGCAGTCCATCACAGAGTACTTGGAGAGGAATCTGGCTTCAGGCAGGTTCTGAACCACTGGGGCACATTAATGGAATGAATCCCTGACACTACAGAACCGTGCTGCTGTTTGTTTGGCCCGTTAGCGAAAGGTTTTCCGTTGCAACAGTATTCACTTAAAGTGAAAGAGATGCGCTTTATTTGCATGTGAATGACTTCTGTACAGCTTTGATGGCAGTGACGCTCTCCATCCCGTGCGCTTCACAATGGGAACCGGTCCTCATGAAGCAAACGGGCTGTGACACCAGTTCTGCCTTTTTCAGCAATGAGGCTAGCGCTGCCTTCAACATTCATCAAGCTGAAAAGCGAAAGGCCGCTCTGCAGCGCGCATAGACCTATTTTGCGCAAACGTTTCCGTTAATATTCCCATTGATACGCAAATAAACCTCCAGCCAAACTTCGTTCGGCTTGTAGTGTAGATCGAATCGCATCACTGCATCACTCAAATCAGTTTTACCAACATTTTACCAGTTTTTGTTTGGTGCCCGCATGCAGTATAAATGTACAGCATCAACGCCAATAAAGCATTCACAAGACCACATTAAGAGGCAAGCGCATCGTTGTGCTTAATGGTCTAGCAGTGACCAATGCGCGTAGCTCGAACAGCAAGCGTCATCACAGAGCTAGAGAGCTTTCAGCTTGCTTTCTTTCTAATTATTTCCTAGGAGATATTTTGTCTCAACTATACAACTATTTTCTGCCGCAGGCTAATGTTCGCGGAGGCGGTTGACAAACTCTATTGCATTTACCAGTCGTCCAAGTTTGTGCACATCTTAAACCCGATTACAGTGAGCAAGGGCAGAAAATTGACCCCACCACTGTGCTGCGGCAAAGGAAAATTGCCGCCTAAATCAGTCACTACTAAGGCTTGTGAAAGTCCTTAGACCTAACTGCTTTCGCCTTCTCAAACATCGAAATAAATCTGGTCGAGTGGGTTATACGCAGAAAAAAACCCTTTGTCAAGTAACTGCTCAATCGGGTGAATTATTAGCAAGACTCTTGGGCATACCCAAACCTGAAGATGTCTCAGGAACAGCAGCCAAATGTCTACGTCAGCTGTAGTATTCCCCGCGATATCCCTGGTTGCCATTTGTAGTGTGGTGCAGGAGGTGTTATGGATATTTGCTACGTGGACACATACGGCAAAATTGCTTTGGCCGGTACGACGACTAGCTACAAACTCCAATCACAATCTATTCCTTATCACGACACCCCATGCATGAGTAGGACTAGGCCACATGGTATTCTTTAGATACAAAAGACGATGCTTTCTCTGTATAGCATCCATGTCCATAAGTATCACACGTGCGCATGCAGGGCACGACAACAGCATTCACATGATGACCACAAACGGCCTGACGCTAAGCAAAAAGCTATCCTGCAAGCACTATCCACCGAGCTGTCTTGAATGGATGACTGGCGCTAACAAACTTCTCAGGTGCGATTGGGCCGCCTATTGGGCTTGCCGCCAATATTCTTCGTTAAGACGGCCACCACTAGATGATTTTATCCCCTGAATCCTAGAACAGTCCATTAGGTTTTGTGGAGCTAAAGAACGTACGACATACTCACATAGCTTGCCGCACCAGATAAACGCAGTTTGTCAGGAACATGATGGCTCCTTGTCGCATTCTCAGTGGGTGCATCGAAGGGAGTATGCAAGTCTGGGACTTGGAAACATGTTCTGAAATTACCAGCAAGAAAGCTCACAATGATTTCGTAACTAAGATTCTGCATAGCCCTGGTGAGGGTAGCTCACATCCATTGCATCATAGTTCCTTGCACAATGGAGTTATTGGGAGTATGCTTACATAAAAAGGAGAACGCTTCGTGTTTTCTGTGGTTCATGCCGTAGTTAGACGTGCTGCTCATATCATCGCTATACATGATTGGGGTTGTGTTAAAGGTATCGCCCTAAAGAGCATCCAACCAGTTTAACATTATGGTAACTACTCGTAAGTATTCACGCACCATGTAATATTGCCCCATACAAGCAAATTTTTTAATGCTTCTCGCACGTTGTGACAATTTTCGCCGCAGGTGAACGTGTTTTCGTCACCGCGTCAGCAGACTCTACCATGAAAATATGGGATGCTCAGTTGTTAGAGTGCAAGCAAGTGCTTACCGGACATACTCGCAGTGTTACCAGCATCGCGTTGTCAAAGGACTACAACTGTCTTATCAGTGCTGGTTTGGATCAAGTAGGGCAGAATGCGCATGAGTCTCCCACTGCGTAGTGTGTCATATTTACATACTCGTGGTATACGTTCAAGTATAGGTTCAGGCTGCCTTAACATCAAACGGTACCCCGACACATCCCACAGAAGGCTCTGTTCCTTGTCCTTTGCACTCGTATGGTGCATCTGTCCAGAATGCAATGGTTTGGAGTCCATGCAACCTGAAGAAGCCCGTTTGCCACTTGAGGGGACACCCGTATTCCCTCTGCGGAGTAGTAGTTGTCCCTGGCACCCCACAAGTTGTTACCGCAGACGTTTCGGGAACATTGCGGCTTTGGGACCTCCGCAACTTCAGGTCGTTTCAGACATTTGGCGGCAGTATGCAATCACTGACTTCATCATGCGATCAAACGAGTAACCGCAGTAGGAAAGAGTACAGAGAGTCTAGGTTAAAAGCCGCCATGGAGGCTTTATGTAATGCTAGCTGGTGGTGGATCGGCGAATCAACCCCACAGAACTGTGAAATTTGAGCTTATGTCGACATTACAGTACCGCGTAGACGCTCGTATTTAAGTCATGATATAGCTCTCCTAGTAAAATGCGTGTGACAGATGAAGTTACCCGTCCAATGCAGCAACGCTTCCCCCGTTGTTTTTGTGACCCCGCACAATCGCACAAGCTGATTTCGTGGGATATTCATATCAATGGGATGAATTACATCAGTTTTGCATTTGTTTACTGTATATAGGAGCGACCGGTTACGGGGATATCAGCGCTGTTTGCGCATTGCCTCCGTATAAGCAGTAGGCATTTGTCAAATTATCAACTAGCATACCAGGAGAAAGAGCTGGTTAGGAATCCCACCTCACAGCCGCAAATGCGCTTGCCGGTGCACATAGCAGGCTTCATTTGAGCTCTACTCATGACTGCAGCGTAATCTGGATATTGTTGCTAGCTGCTGCTGCGTTTCCGTAGGATTCTCACTGGAGGGTCAACGCTTGACGTATATACATGCCAGGAGATGTCGGCAACTGAAAAGCGCTGCACCATGCCTCGAGATCTGACAGCAGCAATCCACAATCCTCAGTATAACAGTATTATAACCGTCGGCAAGACCTCCGTGCTTTCTTGGGATGCTGCTCAGGGTCATATTTCTGGGGTCCGCCTAAGCTCAGGCGTGTACATTAAAGCATCTAGTCCCGTATAAGCTCCGTAGCCTTTTTGCTGAATCGCCTTAATACCGCAATAACGCATGATGTCTGCTGTTGCATACACGCATATGAGAAATTTAGGTCCTCCACGATGTTGAGGGAACTTGCATAACAGCAGCAAGCCTGGACTCCAAGGAACGGAAGCTCTACATCGGATACAGTTCCGGTGTCATATCATGCTTTAATGCGTCCACTGGCGCGGAGCTTTCAAAGGCACAGTCTCACTCAGCTGAAGTGACCCAAATTTGTCGCTGGAAAGGGACCAAATGCTTTGTCTCGGCCTCCTCAGATGGGCTCTTGCTTGTTCAGGAAGAAGCTGCCAAACCGTCGGTACCGTACTTTCTCCTTATTATCTATCCCGTGTACCAGTTGCAGCTGTTATGATATATATTAGCTTGTATGCCTTGTACTGCTAAGGGCCCAGCTGCTTCCCGCTTGCTGCTGTACTAAATTAGAACACTTCAGTGCCAGATGATACCTTCGTAGGTTAGAGCATGTGCTCCATTCCGCTTGTTGTGCGCACTGCGTCCGCAGGGGTCAAAAGGCTCACGTCATATTTCAAGCGACGGTTGGTAAAGAAGGTGTCTCGTGCATGACAGTCTGCGATGACTCTAAAGTGCTGGCTTGTGGGAGCGGCAAGGCCGTGCATATCTTCTGCCTCCACAGGCTTCAGAAAGCGAACACAGTGGAGGGCTTTTCGTGAGTCAAATATACGATGTTGCGGAGTTTGATATGATCATCGGCTTGAATAGTCCGTCCCAGAAAATGAAATGGTCTTAATGCAGTCTTCGGTGTAGATCTATGCTTCGTAACCCTTTAGGGCAGGCACGGGGTAGAGCCGCTTTGCAATATAAAACCCATGACGTTGGTTTGCAGGTGTGCTGATTCTTCATTCACTAACCGAGTGGGATACACTTACCACTAGGTATCTTTTGTGCCCTGTTCCGCAGGTCCTTAGTGCAAGCTATCGATTGTGCTCCTTCAGGAGAATTCCTTGTGGTTGGGGAGGAATGTAAGTAACGATGCATGCGCGTAGTTCGCATCACCTGTTTCTTCCTTCTGCACACGCCAACACAGATTTTTTGCGCACTAGTCGATGCCTTTATTTTGGCACTAAGTCAGTCCCCATTTATTTTTCTGTGATGTGAATACGTGGATCTACTTCGTACTAACCCTAAAAATATAGGTCTGCACGTTATGACAAGTGGTATTCTGACCTTTTCCCGTATGAAAGCATGGCTGTATTGTTCATAGCAGGGCTCACGTGAGCTTTACTCGCTTGGATCACCTGCTCTACTGAGTTGGTGTGGCGTGTTGAGCTTGCAGCTGGGGTCATTTCTGTATGGCGGCACGGTATTACTGAGCAACAGCGCACGTGGACATTCTTTTACTGTTGGGAGGATATATCCCAGCTAGAAACGCTAATGTGTGACGGGGTTACACTTGAAGATCTGCGAAACCAAATAGACGGAGGCCAACAGACAGTAGAGACAGGTCAAGCCATGAAATTTACGTATAAGCGCAGATTGTTTTCGTCGGCCAACGATGACCACGAGCTAATCGTACCTGCAAGCACCAGAGCTGTAAAGGTCAACAAGTTCCAAAGTGATGCCTTGCAGGTGTATACCGCGGACGAACGGGTGAGCTCAGCTAAGTTTTCTCGTGTCCATCTTTTCCCTAAGCCTGCATGATCGATTTGGACAGCTTGGCTTAGAGATATCGTATTTGTCTCAAGGCTATCCTGCGCAACAGCGGATAAACGGTTTCTAAGTATCACACACAACAACCACGTAGTTCTATGATCTAATTGGCTTCCCAGGGCAGCATTAGGTTATGGGATCTTAGTAAGGTCCAGGAGCGCTCTGCGCTGGAGGCGCCTAACACACCTAGTAAGAATCGCGAAATCATCAGGCTCGTGGGTGAAACTGAAGACAAAGTTAGCCGCTGCGACACCAATGCTGCGTCAGCCACTAAGTAAGGGTCCATGTGTTTGGCACATCCCACAGTGGTTTGGGTGTCGGATGCACACGTAAACGCCCCACAGCACTCCGCTACATAGACCCAGCCATCTGCAGTAGTCTTAGGGATATTCTTACTCTTGAATTCGCGTCGCAGCTGCAATAAAGTACTGTACCGGTGGTGTTTGCTGTTGAAAACTGCAGGATGAGGCGGGGTGTCATGGCTATGTACTCCAGAACGTTTCTTACCCAACCTTCTAGCGACTGGACAGATAAAGGCAACGTCGAGCCTGACGGAATCTCCATGCTACGCAAACGGAGGGATGGAACTCAAGGCATGTACACTTGACTACTTTAAGTTCGTCTGCACCATACCGCTCATGTATTCATTTTTCCGGCCCTGGTGACTCGCAGCCTCATGTGCTTTTAGTCTCCTTTAGTTCCTGTCAGCGGCTAGAAGACAGATGAATCCGATTTTTCCAGCTCCTTTATGTGCGCAGAGTCCCAGTCAGCCAAGCGATTCCTGGGTAGGAAAAAAACAATCAGCCAGTACAGGTCCTGCCTATATTCTTATATATTTCTGCAACTAGAGCCATAATGCCGCTTCCAACTTCCTGTTAGTGTTTCCTACGTGACATATACTTCGGCACATAACTTCATACATCGACGCAGTGATGTTTGGACAATAGAGGCTAGTGTCTGGAATGTTGTTCAGAGGCCGCTCTTCTCTGTGAAAGCACAGGACATGATGGCGCAGTGATGGGACTTGACCTCTGCGATGCCGAAGCCATTCTTGACCTTGCATATAAGGAGGACGGCTCCGGCTCCGCAGCAAACGTTTATCCGCGTTGGGTTCTCTCTGTTGGAGCCGACCGGGTTGTCAAGGCCTGGACCCTTGATTTGAAACCTCTTGGGCAACTTAACCAGGTCAGTGCATAAGGACCTGCCCATACTGGCTTGGTTTGTCAGCCACGACTGCGCGGTAGCGTAATCTGGCTGCCGCCGGCATGCTCATGTCAAGTGCACATGCATCAGCCAGCCTCTTGGCTACTACTAAAAGCAAATTAAGCATAACTCAAATTGGTGTCCTGTACCGTGGTGAAGGAAACTCCGCAGATCTGGACTCCACTAGGATGTGCAAGTACAGAGCACCGTAGGATCATGCGTCGGGCTACTGGGCTAAATCTGAAGGCGATTCGTCAGAGGCTTATAAGTTGTCCTTGTAAAAATCAAGATAGATGTTGCAGCAGTACAGCACCTACAGATGACACAAACAAGCCACGCGCAAGTCAGATCACCGGTAGGCGTCACGAACTTAGTGTACTCCATGATCACAAGCCTCAGCCAGTCCTGTTCAAGCAGCACCAGTCAGATGCGCTATCGTTGACAGCCCTTTACTTGCAGAATGGAAGCGAACACGAGCAACCGCGCCCATAACTGCAGGCCGTTTAGCTGGCTTTCATCTCACAACATGGCCTCGGAGGTACAGCCATGCATCAAAGCACTTAAGTAACCTCCAAAAGCCTTCTAAGCGTTTCAAAGGAGACTGGAAACTCTATCTCATCTAAAACTTTGTTCCTTGTTAAGTTATCAAGTTCTAAAAGCAAAACTTTCCTTCCTTTGCGTGTGCACAGACATAACCCCTTAACAGTCGACGAAATCAGGGCGGCAATAAAGTTTGAACATGTGAGTTTCGTCCGTGCACCTACCCACAGCTAGATGTAGAACCATCGTACCCCTCTTTAAGTGAGATGACAGAGTAAAATTCCTCAACATATCCAAACCACAGTGCATGAGGCTTCGATTATGATGTGAGCGTGGGGCTTATTTCGACTCATTCTGTGGTAGTTGCTCGGCGAACTACTGAGCAAGTAAAGGTGTTGGGCAGCTCTATCGCTGTGGAGGTAAGATTCATGAGGATTGGCAAGTAAAGCTCTGACCCAAGCACAAGGCTCACAAAAAATACATGGCTGAGAAGGCTCCCAATGGTCACAAGCAGTCTAGATCCCCACCCTAAAGATGCTATTTTCGGCAAAGAGCCTGGTTATAGTCTGGAGGTACCCCAAGAATCCGGTGAAGGCATCATCAAGACACACCTAAGGCCCTCGGAAAAGTGTGAAGTGTAGTCACCATCGCCATATTGGCCTTGAAGAGTGATATTTGCTCTAAAAGTAAACCATTATTAGTGGCATATATAGCTGCCACACGAGGAACAAGAATGCTTGTGCCTCGAGATGCTACACATTGTTCCATTGACCTGTATGGGACCAGAGGCGTAGAAGAAGAATCGCTCATCGCGTGATACTCAATACGCGGCCTCTTCTTAAATTTCTTTCAAACTTCGCAAGTTCAAGTGCCTACCCGTAGCGATCTAAGGCAACTTGCTCTAAGCAGCCTTATTTGCCATTTTTCTAGCCACACATGGAATTCGTTGGCGGCTGGGAGTTGTCTCAGTTGTGATTAAAACTACAAACTTGAAGTCGGCAAAATTTTTGCTCCCCAGAGTCTTCTGCAGCATCAAAACTTGATATATTCGTTTCAGCCCTCTATGATTGAAGGATTAGTTCTTACATGCGTCGACCAATTTTACGCATCGCAAAACGCTAGGAAGCCTCTAGGAGAATGGCCTGTGGCTTGTGTGGAGGCCCTGCTAAGATAAAACCTACCGCTATTTAGAACCCCGCTCACAGTAGCTTGAACTTTTCGAAAAGATGTGGTGCACAAAAAGGCGCTCCCACAAACCTGCATTACTCAATGTTGCAGCTCTCAAAAATTGCATTATCTGTTCTTCCTTATCGAAAGAGATTTGCTCACCTAGGCGCCATATCAAGAGTGACTCAGGCTTTACTTCTGATGCTGCTCTGGACCCCTATGTGTAGTGAATTACAGCTTCGAAACACTGCTTTCGCTGCACAAAGTGCAGGTAAATGTCGTGCAGGTGACTGCCCTCGCGTTGCGTCTTTTTCCCCTCTATCAGTCCCGAAAGGGAACTAAGAAACTTGATCATTAATCACCAATTTGAAAAACTCCAAGCCCACTAGAATCAAAAACGCCCATAGACTCCGCGCAGCCCAACCAGCAGCCTTCACGCTCATCCCTGCTCATAATCTTGTGGGGGAGGAAAAGGCTTCTTGACAAAACGCAACCACCAGAGGCAACTCGCTCTTCAGAAGCTATAGATATGGTCTTCCTCTCAGCCATAGATCCCTCACGCGATGAGGTAGAGCACTCAACGTAAGATGTGTGCAATTCACAAAACAGTCGTGAGTGCTAAGATCAACATTACATTCAGGCATCCAGCTGCATCCTTTGCAGAAGACAGCCTGCTCAAAGCAGTGACACCTATACGATACAATGGTTTGCACCACTGTAGTTTATCAGGGTCCCCAATTTCTCCCCACATGGGTGTGCAGATGCATCAGCATCAAAGTACAAGCTAATCAGTATCGTGCGTGGAGAGAATGACTATGGGTAAGGATGCCAATGCTGACTTTTTTGAAACTGTGTCCCTTTCCAGGTGCATAAATAACGAATGGGCAGATAACTTCTCAACTGGCTACTTGTGACTAAAGCAGCACTGAAGCCCACTTCGCCAATGGAGAAGCTATTACCCCGAAGTTCCCACTGTGCTGCGGATATACCAGTACAGCCCAAGATTCTTTTCAAAACCCAGGCATTCTTTAGGGGCTGAAACTGCGCAGGCTTCGGTGTTTCTTCGAAGCACTGACACTGGCTAGTTTACCCAGTGAGACAGCGTGGGATCAGATGATCTAATTCGTCTTGATAAAGTAATTGCATTCAGTCAGTGGACGACATTGTTTCATCTTACGGGTGAATTTTGCTTGGGCTCTAGAATTGTTGGGCAGACTGTCGTCAGCTTTGGATGCGAATTGCCAGCATACAGCCTGCATTGAAGACTGTTGCTGCTTTATCGTGGTACGCAGGCCTCTGACAGAACCAGAAGTCATCAGCATACATCATGTCTAGAGCCGGGTGCTGTCGTGGACTTGGGATGCGGAGGGAGGCAACAGGATGGCTGAGGAGCTACTTGGCCAAGAGCTGTGCCGCCTGTTGGGGTGCTGTCGAGTCTCATAGGGCATTTGGATTATCCCTAAGGCCTACAGTGTAGCCTTCAAGGTGTTATTAGGCGGGCATCCTGAAGTTTTAGTAGACGACAAGGGTAGCTTTGGTGGTTTCATTGCGGCCCGTGGCGCCACAGACCTAGGAAGACGGCGATCAGCGAGAAGTGGATTTCAGGCTGCTAGATAATGCTTGGTTAACTACATTCTAAAGGTATTCACTGGTAATGAAAGGATTTCTTATGCAAATGCTCACAAAACTGCTTTTGAAATGGAATTCGGATTAACTCCAAGCCGCAGGTGACCGCACGGCCTACTTGCGAGTACATGTTTATGTCGATTTACGTTGCTAGGAGAGTATACAGCTTTATCTTTACACTTCTAGCAAGTTCTGGGCATAAATATGAGCTATGGATGTCCGATAACAACCTGTTAAAACTATATGGCTGCCTGATGTGAGGATTGCAGGAGGCGCCCGAGGCACATCGACTAATGTTTCAGCATATAAGCCGCCACTGCTATCATAGCATTCACTGGCAAAGAACACACCACTAGACCCAAAGTTCATTTGTTAGGAGGCAGCCCAGTGTATGATGCTGACTCACCTTCGCAGAGGCCAGACACCCAGCAGTGAACTGCCTGGACAACCCACCCAACCTGCTATGGCTAGCCGACTAGCCACGCCCACAGCAGGAGGCCTTCCACCACTGGGCGCCCAACGGGGGGCATCTAGGAATTGGGCAATGCTTGCGCTGACGCGCAGCGGCCCACTAGATTGTGCACTCGCCGGTTGCGTGTGGAGGATGCAACAGCGGCTCCACGGGGTGATGGAGGAGGCCTTGACACGCATCGCATAGTGCTGGCATCTGTTGCTGGTCTGGTAGACCCTGGCAATATCTGTTGCAAGCCTCTACCTATGCTGGCTGATGCATTCTTTAGGGAGTACTCGTGCAGATGCACCAGCATTACTATGCACTGGATCTTACTGCAGAGAAGTGGCTGGTTGACGGCTTGGTCTTCCTAATAGCCACCACTGCTTAACTCAGAGGCAAGTTCTAGATCTAGTGCCAGGCACGTGGCAGGACTTTAGCTCTCTCGTCTCCCAGCAATTACGCGTCGTACCAGTGTGATCCAAGAACAGCTGGTTGAAGGAGATAAAAGATGGCGGAGACTCTAAGAAGGTGGTCAAGAAGCAGAGGAGAATGAGCCCATGATGGCCTCGCCTAAAAAATTCTTCCTATCATGTTTTATCGACTATATTTCTGCTTTAGAGAACGCTTAACTTTAGACTCAATAGAAAAAAGTACAAATTCATTGGATGCTTTCCAACAGTGCTCCCTCCTTCCCCGGCATGCACCTCTCACGGTTCCTATATGAAGGAAGAGGGGCAAATGAAGTGCGCGCCTGACACCTTCTGCGCAAAATCAGAGAGCATCAAACAGCATCTGGAGCGCAAAGCCACAACCTTTCGTCTTATTGTACAGAGCTCACATTACTCTGCAAAAAAATAGACTTCAGTGACGATATACGCATTAGGCAATTGTACTTATTCTGGATAGGATTACTGGTGTAGTATAGAGTATTAAATGATGGTTGTCTCTTGTGCTATATTTCTTTTCCGTAGTTGCATTAAAGCACACTCCCTGGCGTGCCGTAGCTGAAAGTCGAGACCAAATGCCTGCAGGACAGCAAAAGAGTTCCTTACTTACTCCCAACCCCCGGTAACCACGAAAGTGTTTTAAAATGTGAGAAAAGCACGGTGGGCACCAGCTGCTAAAGAGGCTCTAAAGGACGAAATATAGACACTAGCCGACAGCGATTTGGAGAATAAGCCGACAATATCGCTCCGCGAAGATGGCT